ATCTAAACCATGTTTTGCGAGAGCCCGTTCCGACACCATACATCCGCAATATTTTCAATGGACAACTGGTGCATAACCTACAGAGGAAATTGGCAAGAGGTAATATATTTTTTTTGTATCAGATAAAGAAGGCCCGAAAGTGCTTTTTTATGTGGCACAGCATGCTGGAAGGGATTCTAACATGAAAAAAGTGTGGGGAAAACGGGTAAGGAGGTTTCGCCTCCGTGATTGCAAATTCGCACCCTACCAGTTCACCTGAATTACGAGTTCACTCCTGTACGTTAAGAAATGGTTAACGTGCCCTGTGCAGACGTCGAGTTATAGATGCCCGCGGGAGGTTACTAAGGCTAGAGTCGCAACAACACTGAGACTTTCAACATCTTTTGTTTCGTGTAGATATAAAATAACCAAAACAAACGGACGTCAGCATGCTACTCACGGGTTAGGGGATCAAGTGTATTTGTGAATTAGAGCACGCGGTTTTTTTTTTTAAAGCTATGTTATAAAACTGGTAAAATCCGGGCGCACATATTTTAGCATATACACACTCAGTGATCTTGGCGTTTCCAGCAATCTGATTGGTTCGCTATCTCGGGCTAATCAACAATGTACACCTCCGAGCGAGTGGATAATGTGAAAAACAAAATAGCGGCCGTAAACTCAGCTCGCGTTTCGCTAAAGTTTCAGAGGCAGAAATTGCCTTTAAATGGCTTCCTTTTAATTTTGTCGAGATCACTTCGTGTGTATATAGTAAAACAATTATTCTTTGCAATCTCGGTGAATAGTAGCTTTCAGGAGTATTTACCTTGCCGCTTCGCGGCTCGGTAAATATTTAGCCACTATTCACCGAGATTTCAAAGAATAATTGTTAAATTTTTGATGACCCTCATGCCCTTGTTCGTTTTGTTGATCACCTGTAATCATTTTTATCTTTGCTTTTCGCTCTTTAATTCTTTAAATCCCGTTTGGCTATTGTGGGAATGGCCACTGCACCAATACGATAACACATGGGAAACGTTTCTAGTGTAAAGGCCCGTTTAAACGGTTTCAACATTTGACCAACATGCGTTCAACAAAAGTTGAACGCATGCTGGGCAAATGTTGCACGCAAAAACAAAGCTGTTCGGAGGCCTTTCAAAGGCCTCACAAAGGCCTTACAAAGGAAAAATTGAATCGATGTTGAACGAAAGTTTCAGAAACCGATTTAACTTTGATTCAACACGCTTTTAACAAGCTTTCGACATTTTTTACGATTTCAGCAATGTTGGACCATCTGTTTAAACGTACCGAACATTTGTTTCAACAGTGTTGAAAGCACGTTGAAACAAATGTTGAAACCGTTTAAACGGGCCTTAACGTATACACGTGTCCTCTTCTCCATAACGTTTGTTCTTGTCTTATTCACATTGCGTTTTGAAGGGGTAATAATCATATATTTACCTCTTCAAAGAACTGTGGTGAGCAAGGGCGTAGCCAGGGGGGTCCTGGGGTGCCCGGCCGTGACTCCCCCTTGGTAGGCCTTCTTTAGAGCAAACAACCTACAATATTCAGCTGGCGAAAACGCCATGACAATATCNCTCCTACCCCCAACCCTGCAGGAGACGGGGCCTACGGTTTATTCGTCCTTATCCGAGAAGACTAGAATATCTATCCATTTCTTGTTATAGTAAGGTAGCAAATTCTCCTCAGTTATTTTAAGACCATGGTTAAGTTAATGTCGTCAAACTTGCTTTTCAATGTTTTAAGAAATGTACTGAAAATAGTTACCCTTGCTTTAACACTCAGAATTGTGGAGACGCAGGTAATTAAAGTGAATTAAAAGAGTATACTGCTAAAATATATTGAGCTTGTTGGTTGCCTCAAAGAAAGCAATTAACAAGTTTAATATTGAGCTTAGCTTCAATGAAATTTGAACAGAAGGCAGTTTCAGTATGAAATGTAATTTTTAAGGCTTTTTTTTGATGAAAAAAAAACTTTTCTAGCCTCTGAGGGGGACAAATTGCCTGATGCCAAATCAAAAGATGGAGAAGAGGAGGAGGAAGAAATTGAAGTGGATATATCAGATGAAGAAGATACTTTGCCAAACCCTGCAGATGCCAAAAAGACTAGGATCAGGAGGTAATTTATTTTTCTGCAATGATTTTTCAGTGGGATTTTTTCAGTGAAGACTAATACACTAAATGTCTACTTGCTCCACAGAGAAAGAATAATAGACAAGGGAGACACATGGAATCTTCCAGAAGCAGGTGCATTTATCACCTTTTGCCCTGGAATCAGGAAAGAACCGTTGTGGATCTGTTGTTCCATATGGAGTCCTAGGTCCCTCTCTCCTCCAATAGACAGTAATGAGCTCTTAGTGAGCAATGTGATTGAACTATCTCATGATGGCCCACAAACTCTATAGTCTATGGAAGATGCTACAGAAAGCATAACAGTGGGTTTGCTCCACAGTGCCTCTGATTTCAAGGGATATGAAGTGGTTATTAAGAAACTGGTTGATCCAGAAAAGAACGAGTGGTATGATTTGGAAACTAGAATCGTTTGGGATACAGCAGGTATTGAAATAATATGAAATCATGTTTACTCTAGGGTGAATTACTTTAAGGCAGTTCTCAACACTTTTTATGTTCTCTGGACTGGACATTTTGGTGACCTTCACAGAATCCTATCCAGATCTTAAGCATTTTCCTCAATAAT